TACTTTAGTATTGTGATCGGCCAGCAGCGGGGGCAACTCGCGTAACTTTCTAATTGTAACTTTCTAAATGTAAAAGGATTTACATTTAACATGGATCATTTGCTATGTGGGCAAACACTTCTGGTTAGTTCATAGGTGTGTTGTCGGGAGTGAATGCAATAGCTCAGTACTGTGGCCAGCACCGTGTCAAGGCAGAGAGCACACTATTTCTTTTTAAATGCTTATTTATTTATTTTTGAGCGAGGTCACAAGCAGGGGAGGGGCAGAGAGAGAGGGAGAGAGAATCCCAAGCAGGCTCTGAGTTGTCAGCACAGAGCCTGATGCGGGGCTTGATCTCCTGATCGAGCGAGATCATGACTTGAGCTGAAACCAAGAGTCAGACGCTTAACCAAGTGACTCGTCCAGGCGCCCCAGATAGCACAGTATTACGTTGAGGTGCTTTTTTATCCTTTCTGGTTAAACTAGTTTCTTCTTCTTTTTTTTTTTTTAAGTTTATTTATTTGTTTTGAGAGAGGGAGAGAGAGAGAGAACGAACAGGAGAGGGGCAGAGAGAGAGAGAGAGAGAGAATCCCAAGTAGGTTATGCTCTGTCAGCGCAGCATCCGACCAGGGGCTGGATCTTGCCTCATGAACCATGAGATCATGACCTGGGCCGGAACCAAAAGTCACTTAACCAACTGAGCCACCCAGGTGCCCCTAAACTAGTTTCTTTATCTATGATAATTCAATTTTTAAAACTTACTTCTGGCTCAGATGTTTAATATATATAAACGTTTCCCTTATCCTGAATTATGTAATTTTGGAGTTCAATAGAAAGAAGCTGTGTTTGATTTATTGTTATATCCTTGTTATTTATTATTTATAGTGTCTAATGTGATACCTTGCACATAGTGAGTACTCAAGAATGAGAAAACCACGACATAAACAACCTTTTTGAAAAGAAATTTTTTCATGTGGGACAACTTTCAATGAGGTAAAATATTATAGGCAACAAAAACATTGTGAATGTAACTTTTCCAGCCTTAGTTTCTCAGGGGAACAAGTAGGTCTAGGAAATGTAGCCAGGTGTCTCAAGTCTGATAACAAATTTCTTTTCTGGAGCACAAAGGATCCATTGCGTTTTGCTCACAACATGAAAATCTCAGTGAGAGTCTATGGGCACTGCCTAACTCTGAAAGGATTCAACTTATCCAGAGCAAATAAAGGCTCAAGTTGTTCATCACCTTTCTGAGGTAGACTGAAACCCAGATGGATTGACATGAGCAAGCTCCTGTGTTTCCCGAAGGAACACTTTGTTAGAAATAATGTTTTCAAGCAATTCACAGCAGAAATCTTCTCTTATTATCTTTCATATCTGGGGTGCGTAAGCATGTACATTTCCGAAGCATAAAAGGAAATCCACTGAGTAGACAGAGACCTAAAGGAGACAGATTTTTGTTATCTTTTTGACTTTAACACTACTTATACTTTTGGGAGGAGGTCTTACTGCACGATTCCACTCGGGTGGTTACTGCTGGTAACCAGGTGGTTACCAAAGCTCAGGTGGTTACGAAAGCTCAGTTAGAGGTTGATAATTTGGAATACCGCAGACCACTTCGTCAGGAATGTTAGTTACTGTAAAAATTGGCTGCCTTCACTAGTTCTAGGTTATATTCGTACTAGTGGGTGAGAACGGTAGCAAATTATAGGAACAACAAAAAACCCCTCATACTCTAGAACGAGTCCCTTCCAGTTTTGATTTGTTTTCTGTATTTCCTACAGGTGGTCTTGTGCTGATTACTCTAGCTCTGTTTCCACATCGGTAAAATAGGGAAAATAATGAGGAATTATCTTTTTGGATTTTTGTAAGGATTAAGTGAATTGATCTAGGATGAAGTGCAGGGAAGAATGTTAAGCCGGTAGTTGACGTCACATGAATGGCATCATTTCTGTGTATTGGTGATGATTTTGGGTTTTAAACTTTCTAATCTTGTAACATTTTTCTTCTGCATGATAATATCAGGACATGGGTACAAAAGTTGGGGAATTTATGAGTGTACATGCGTGTGCACACGTGTATCGTTTTTTTTTCTTCTAGGTGAGTAAGCAGGTCTTATTTCAGATAGAGTTATTAACTTTGAAACATCCTTCAATAAGCCAATTTGAAGGAGAGCCAAATAATAAGTGCTATATTTATCATCAAATGAGAAAATGTGCAGTGGGTATGTGTAATAAACGAATGTATTATGTAGTGAGGATGTAAAATTAAATGTGCGTAGGTGGATAAGAAAGTTCACCCAAAAGGACTTGCTAATTCTAGAGCTTTATAGAAGAGATTTTGTATGTCATTAAATACACTGTGGTAACCTCTTTCCTGCTGACATCTTCTTAGATCTAAATACTCCTCTTCAACATGTGAACATTCCAAGTGTTGTTTTCAGATCCATAATGGAATAGTGGACAGAATAAAAGAATAAAAATCAAATCTCAAGCTTGGTTTCCAGGGGCACAATGGCAAGGAAAGTAACAAGTAGGTTCTTCATCAAGTGTCGGATGAGGCAAAAAAGATCACGTGTCACTAGATAGCTTGGCAGAACTTAGATGCAATTGAGGCCTAGAACTATTCTTAAAGAGGTATGTTTTTTTAAAGTTGGTCTCACTGAGGTAAATCAAACTTATGTTTCTATATGAAAGTGGACAGTGCTAGAATGCTTCAGTTCAATATTCCATAATTTATTTTTCTTCTCTCTTGGAAAATAATGTGAGATTCTTTCATGAAGACCTGGCTTTGGTTCATGACGCTGTCACTTAACGCCTAGCCGGGCTGTGGGCCGGTGGCTTGCCCTTGCTGAACCCTAGTTTCGGTATCTGTTAAATGGTAAAGACAACATGCCAAGTGCATGGAGCAGGGTGATATTAAAGGGTGAACTCTCCGGGAAGTAGGAGGTATTCACCAAATGTTAGCCTTGGCATTGTACGTCTAACCACCTCCCAGCAGTCATTCAGACCTTCCCTTATTCCTACTTATTTTACATTTCAAAGCCTACAAAAATAAATGAAGCTCCTCAACAGATAGGAAGTTCAGGATTTCAGCAAATCACCTTAACTTCTCATTACCGTTGGCACCGTAAGGAACTGTGAGCATGTGAAAAAGAGAAAGAATAAACTGTTTTTGAGATTGTCATCCCCCCTCCCTCTGTATATATTCTCGAATGCTTATGACAGTGGTAATCACCTGAAAGGTAAATAAATAGCAAGGAGCAGTGGGCACCCTTTGGTTCTTAGAAGATGGATGGTTAACAACGGATGTTTATTCAGCCTTACATATTTTCATATTTTACATCAGTTTCTTGATAACTCTATGCATTTTTTAAAAGGAACATTTAAATTTGCTACAGATGTTTCATGAAAACCATTATTAGAGTCAAGAGAAAATGCATTTGGAAGCAATTGTGCAAAGGTTTAATTTTTATTTCTAAGGGAAAATGTATGCATGCGGTAGAAGTAATAAAGGAAAGCTGAATTTCCCTTGAGGTATACTCGGCTGAATAAAATCTGCTACATTATCCTTCAATCAGCCACTTAAAAATTTTAATTGTGTAGACTCTTAATCACAAGGAAAGTAACCTTTGCATGAGCTTTCCTTCGTGGAGGGGAGTGGGGGAGGGCTACCGTCTTTTTTCAGCTCCTTCGGAAGAATCTTGTCTTGTTTCATCATTTCTTTGCGTCTCCTATGCTCCTCTAGGCCCTGAGCATGGACTTTTGGGCTCATTATGCTGCATTGCATAGGAAAAAAGCAGAGCAGTAATGAATAGGGTTTAAACAAGTAGGTACTTGGCTTCTGTAAAATGCCTCCAAGCTAACCCAGCTCCAAATCCCTGTAGTGTGTACAGATGGGTCCCACAACACTTGGTGTTCAACAGCCCCTGACTCAGCAAACCGAAGGCTGTGCAAGTCCCTCTCTGTGGCTCATTCCACCCTCTCTCTTTTAAGTGTCAGCGTGACCCAGCATATGCCATTTTGGAAATGCACTGCAAATTGGTATGAGATGTAGATCTCCTGATTTTCTTTTTACACACTCAGTGGCAATCAAGGGAGCTATATAGTGTGATAACGTTAGAAGATGATGATTTTATGACTCTTAAAATTTGACTTTTCATGTATTTCACGAAGGAACTTGCGTGTAATTGAGATTCATGTGGTTTTCTGGGTACGGGATGAATTGGGAACTGTGAATTCGGTGAGAGTCAATGAAGGCACACTTCCACAGTCCAAGGCAAGCAAGGAGCAAAGCTAATTTCCCAGTGAATCCCAGCAAAACATGTCTCAGAACAATCTGGCTTAGCATTGGTACTCCATGCCGTTAGTCTCTTCCTACTGCTCTCTGGGGTGAAGTCTGATGCTGAGATGCTCTGCCTTTTAGAATCTTTGCCAGTATTTCTTGGAGAGTCACAAGGTTCGGCCATATTAGGGCAGGATCATGTCTTTTGTCTTGAGTCATCCAAAGCCAAAGGGAAATGGGAAGCACATGGGTCAGGGACATTTCATGGCAGTTTTGGCTTGTTTTTAAGAAACAGCTTTATGGAGGTCTAATAGACACCCAATACACTACTCACATTATGGGGCAACATTTGATGTTTTGGTATATGAACATACCTGTGAAACCACGACTACCATCAAGATAATGGACACACTTAACACTTCCGGAGGTTTCTTTGTGTCCTTGGCAATCCTCCTCTCCTTCATGGGCAACACCTGATCTGCTTCTCGTTGGTGTGTGTTGGTCGGAATTTCCTAGAATGTTGTATAAATAGAATCCTCTTTTATGTACTCTTTTTTTCTGTTTGGTCTTCTTTCATGCAGCATGTTTAGTTTGATTCACACATGTTGTTTTATAACATCATCGTTCATAACCTTTTATCGCTGAATACCATTCCTTTGTATATGTACCACACTGTTCTACTGTTGACGGGCATTTGGATTATTTCCATTTTCTTTACTTTTCTTTTCTTTTCTTTGCAGTTTCAAATAAGGATGCTATGAACGTTGAACACTTTGCTTTGCTGCCTCCTCCAAAACAACAATAGATATACAGTTCAGATAGCTGTGTCTCATCCTGGCCTGTTTCCTGCTCTTGTAAAGTAGGGAAAATAATTGTACTTATTTCACAGGACTACTGTGAGGGCTGCCTGGGATAATGCATAATAAAGTGCTTACTAAGTTCCTGGCTTAATATTGTTTAAAAAAAATTTTTTTTTTAATGTTTATTTTCTGTGAGAGAGAGAGAGAGACAGAGTGCGACCTGAGGAGGGGCAGAGAGAGAGGGAGACACAGAATCCCAAGCAGGCTCCAGGCTCTGAGCTGTCAGCACAGGGCCCGACGCGGGGCTCGAACTCACAAACCGCGAGATCATGTCCTGAGGTGAAGTCAGACGCTTACCCGACTGAGCCACCCAGATGCCCATTTTTTTTTTAATTAAAAAAAATTTTTGGGAGGGGGCGCCTGGATGGCTCAGTCGGGTAAGCGTCCGACTTCAGCTCAGGCCATGATTGTGTGGTTCATGAGTTCAAGCCCTGCGTTGTTGGGCTTTGTGCTGATAGCTCAGAGCCTGGAGCCTGCTTTGGATTCTGTGTCTTGCTCTCTCTGCCTCTCCCCCACTCATGCTCTGTCTCTGTCTCTGAAAAATGAATAAATGTAAAAAAAAAATTTTTTTTTTATTCTACAGAGAGAGAGAGCAGGCAGGAGAGGGGCAGAGGGAGAGAGAGAGTTTTTTTAAACATTATTATCATTACTGTTCTTGTTTACTTGTAACATTTGCTTTGATTTCCCTCCATTTGCATTGGCTTCCACTCACTCCATGCCAAGTACTACCTCTTAAAGTGTGTAACATACTGAGGCTGAAACATGTGACCCACAGTCATCATTCGACTCTGTGAACAGTCACATTGAAAATGGGTATTATCTTAAATCTGGGCAAGAAATTATTGGCAAAATAACCCCCAGAGTCTGAATTCAGCAATTAATTTCATCAGCTATGAAAGAGAGGCCAAGAGAGGCCCAGCTGTGTGTTGACAGGAGCCTTGGCAAGGGCCGAGCGTGATGGTTGAGGATGGCATGCCATTCGTTTGTGGCATTTCCACAGCTGGTGGCCAGTGCTGTCATGAGCTTTGCTGGCAGGCAGTAATCTAATCTGCTATCCCATTTATTCTATTTTCCTTTTCTCAACACAACTCCAGCCTCCTTCTGGTTTAGCGTTCTGGCATTTGTATTCCACACATCACATTCCATCTTGTTGGCTTTTTTGGCCTTGGAATAATTAAGATGGTGAATCCACACAGTGAATATGGCTATTGTATATTTGCCTGTCTGACCACTATCTCAGTCAGTAAACGATTAGCACTCCTCTCCCCCCAAGCAGTCCATAGATACTGTTAACCTCTAGTGTATGTATCAGGGTAACTGACACAAAAGTCAGTTTCCCAGGATGTATGACAGCATTTGCATGTTCTAAGGGTCTATTCGGAAAGGATGGTACATGCCAAACTTCCTAGTGTTTTTCTTGGCATCTAAAGTCTTTCTAAGAAAGAAAATATTCTGAACAAATGCCAATAGGCTTTTCATAAAAAGTATTCTCCTTCTGACGTGCTATTTGTTTCGTCTCTGGCTTCTCCCTTAGAGGGTGAATGCCACGAGGGTGGTAAGCCTGGCCCTTTCATTTACTGCTGTATTTCTAGTACCTGGAACATTTCCTTCTAAGACCTCAATAAATACTTGTTGAATGAATGAATGAAATCACTCAGAAAATTTTTTGAGCATTGGTTAAGAACCAGTATTGTGCTTGGACCTAGAAGTATCAACTAACTTTAAAGACTAATTCTTTGTCCTGATGGAGCATATAGTTTTAGTTGGGGCTTGAGACACAGTAAATGAAAATAATTATAGGTTGGGATTACAGATTATGATTAATTATTATGAAAAGCTATAAGATTAAATGATGAAAGATTACCTGGAGGGGATGGGAAAAGACAATTTGGGGAGATCCAAGTGATGAGAATAAACTAGCCACATGAAAAAGCAGAGGTAGATCATTCAGATAGTACAAAATTGCCGAGGGGGAAAGGGCTTGGTGTATCTGAGGAACAGAGAGAGGCCTGAGGTGACTCAAAGTGAGCGAGGAGGGAATGTGATCAAGTTGGGTGTACGTGAACCACTTTATGAGACCCTGTGGACCATGGGAAGACGAATTACAATGGTAAGTGGTTACAGGGTTTTGAGCTGGAGAGTGACATTTGATTTATGGCTTCAAAGATCATTGTAAAAGCCACGTACAAATTGTATTGAAAAGTACTGAGTGGAAGCAGGAGAATCAGTTAGAAATTTCCAGAGTCCACTGACTTCACTAGAGTGGTGGTTAGAGATGGAGAAAAGCAGGTTGATTTGAAATACACTGGAAGACACTGGAAACACAAATAATCCAGTGAAGAAATGCGCAGAAGACATGAATAGACACTTTTCCAAAGAAGACATCCAGATGGCCAACAGACACATGAAACGATGCTCAGTGTCACTCCTCATCAGGTAAATACAAATCAAAGCCATGCTGAGATCACCTCACACCCGTCAGAGTGGCTACAATGAACAAATTAGGAAACTACATATGCTGGTGAGGATGTGGAGAAACAGGAACCCTCATGCCCTGTTGGTGGGAATGCAAACTGGTGCAGCCACTCTGGAAAACAGTGTGGAGGTTCCTCAAAAAATAAAAAAACAGAACTACCCTATGACCCAGCAATAGCACTACTAGGAATTTACCCAAGGGATACAGGAGTGGTGATGCACAGGGGCACATGTACCCCAATGTTTATAGCAGAGCTTTCAACAATAGCCAAATCATGGAAAGAGCCTAAATGTCCAACAACTGATGAGTGGATAAAGAAGATGTGGTTTATATATACAATGGAATACTACTTGGCAATGAGAAAGTATGAAATCATGCCATTTGCAGCAACGTGGATGGAACTGGAGGGCATTATGCTGAGTGAAATAAGTCAGTCAGAGAAAGATAGATATCATATGTTTTCACTCATATGTGGATCTTCAGAAACTTAACAGAAGACCATGGGGGAAGGAAAGGGGAAAAAACAGTTAGAGAGAGGGAAGGAGGCAAACCATAAGAGACCCTTAAATACAGAGAACAAACTGAGGGTTGATGGGGGGTGAGGGGAGAGGGGAAAATGGGTGATGGGCATTGAGGAGGGCACTTTTTGGGATGAGCACTGAGTGTTGTATGTAAGCCAATTTGACAATAAATTATATTAAAAAAAGAAAGTTTAGAATTATTTTAAAAATGAAATATATTGGAAGGAAGTGCTGACTCAACCTGGTGACAAATTCAGGGCATGGAGGGAATGTGTAAAAGCTGAATGAAGAATGACTTCAAGGTTTCTGTAGGTGCACTTAGGTAAATGATAGGGATATTCAGTGACCAAGGGATGGTACCATTCACTGAGATGGCAATGACTTGAGGAGGGTTCTCCAGAGAACCATGTATATGGAAAGGGAGTGGGGATAGAGGGGGAGGACAGATTGATTCTAAACAATGGGCTCATTTAACTATGGAGGCTGAGAAATGCCAAGTTCTGGAGTCAGCAAGCCAGACTGAAGACAGCTAATGGTGTAAAGCTTCTAGTCTAAGAGCAGAAAGACTGATGGTACCAGCTCAAGCATCCGGCAAGAGGAGTTCTTCTGACCGAGACTTTTTGTTCTATTCAGATTGTCAATTGATTTGGACAAGTCCCACCCACATGAGGGAGGGCAGCCTGTTTATTCAGGCTACCAATTCAGATGTTAATCTCATCCAGAAATATTCTCACAGAGGCACTTAGTATAATGTTTGACCAAATGTCTGGGCACCTTGTGGCCCAGTCAAGTTGACACATAAAATTAACCACTGTAAGAGCTAATGCCTGCTGATGGGTGCTGACACTCCTCAAAAGTGGGGGGATGCATGAATTTTTCAGATCAAAATCAACCCGGTCAGCCTTCCCTATGAAAAAAAAAAGAAAAAAGAAAAGAAACAAACAAACAAATTAACCATTATAGAAGGACAGATTGTGTGTGGACATTCCTAACTTATTGTTTTACATTTCAGTTTGAGGTATCTGGAACCCAGAAGTGTGGAGATTTTAAATCACATATTTGATATATGAGTCAAGAGATCAGAGGTGAGGTCTGACCTGGGTACATAAATTTGGGGAGTGTGATAGTGATGGCTAGTTTGCTTCCCCAATGGCACTCTTTCCTTCTGCTTTAAGACTATGATTCTCATTTGTTTAGTAGTGGAAATATGTCCAGCTCTGAAAACTGTATTTCCCATCCACATAGGATGGTCACATAACACAGTTCTGGTCAATAAAATGTCTGTTGCAATTATTGTGAAATTGTTAGGCGAGAACTATTTAAAAGAGTGACAACTCATGGACCTTTTGTTCCTTGCCTTTTTCTTTCTTCTTGATTGAAGTACTGATGCAGCTAACTTCTGATAATAAGCTGACAAATACTTGTTTAAGAAGGCTGAACAAAATGATAAAACAGGCTTGGAATATAGTTACTGTGTCAACTCAGGACTATTTATCCCCAGATGTCATATATCCTGAGAAAAGCCAAACCTCTCATGTGTTTAAGCTAGCATTCATCAGCTTTCTGTCTCTTGCAGCTGACTCCAATTCCTATCTGATACAGAGTGTCATTAGCATCAAGATAGCCTATTAGCCAGGATGTTTGGGGTGTAAGTAAGAAAAATATGACTTCATGCCATTTTTAGTCTTGTGTAACTGCAAACTCTGAAGAAGCAGAGACTCCAGGATTAGGGTTCAACAAGGCTATCAGGGACTGATGTACTCCCCCTCTTTTTACTCTATCATCTTTTGTTTTGGTTTCATCTCATTGACTTCCTACTCATGACCAGTGGGAGAGGAAACAACTTTCCACCAAAAAGTCAACAGAAATCCTGATTTTCACTCCTGATGGAGGCAATTTAGGTCACACCCTCATCTCTGAATGAATCATTGGCATAGGAGGAATTTGCTGGTTGGCTTGACCCTGGGTTTTGAACTAATCAC